TGCAACAAAAAGAATAAAATACCTAGGAATAAACCTACCTAGGAAGACAAAAGACCTGTATGTAGAAAACTGTAAGACACTGATGAAAGAAATTAAAGATGATACAAACAGATGGAGAGATATATCATGCTCTTGGATTGGAAGAATCAATACTGTGAAAATGACTATACCACCCAAAGCAATCTAAAGATTCAACGCAATCCCTATCAAATTACCAGTGGCCTTTTTTACAGAACTAGAAGAAAAAAATCTTAAAATTTGTATGGAGACACAAAAGACCCCGAATAGCCAAAGCAGTCTTGAGGGAAAAAAACGGAGCTGTAGGAATCAGACTCCCTGACTTCAGACTATACTACAAAGCTACAGTAATCAAGATAATGTGGTACTGGCACAAAAACAGAAATACAGATCAATGGACTAGGATAGAAAGCCCAGAGATAAGCCCACGCACCTATGGTCAACTAATCTATGACAAAGGAGGCGAGGATATACAATGAAGAAAGGATAGTCTCTTCAATAAGTGGTGCTGGGAAAACTGGACAGCTACATGCAAAAGAATGCAATTAGAACACTCCCTAACACCATACATAAAAATAAGCTCAAAATGGATTAGAGACCTAAATGTAAGACTGGACACTATAAAACTCTTAGAGGAAAACAAAGGAAGAACACTCTTTGACATAAATCACAGCAAGATCTTTTTTGGTCCACCTCCTAGAGTAATGGAAATGAAAACAAAAATAAACAAATGGGACCTAATGAAACTTAAAAGCTTTTGCAAAGCAAAGGAAACTACAAACAAGACGAAAAGACAACCCTCAGATGGGAGAAAATATTTGCAAACGAATCAACGGACAAAGAATTAATTTCCAAAATATATAAACAGTGCATGCAGCTCAACATTAAGAAAACAAACAACCAAATCCAAAAATGGGCAGAAGACCTAAATAGACATCTCTCCAACGAAGACATACAGATGGCCAAGAAGCACGTGAAAAGCTGCTCAACATCACTCATTATTAGAGAAATGCAAATCAAAACTACAATGAGGTAGCACCTCACACCAGTTAGAATGGGCATCATCAGAAAATCTACAAACAACAAATGCTGGAGAGGGTGTGGAGAAAAGGGAACCCTCTTGCACTGTTGGTGGGAATGTAAATTGATACAGCCACTACAGAGAACAGTATGGAGGTTCCTTAAAAAAACTAAAAACAGAATTACCATATGAACCAGCAATCCCACTACTAGACATATACCCAGAGAAAACCATAATTCAAAATGATACATGCACCCCAATGTTCATTGCTGCACTATTTATATTAGCCAGGTCATGCAAGCAACCTAAATGCCCATCGACAGATGAATGGATAAAGAAGATGTGGTACATATATACAAAGGAATATTACTCAGCCATAGAAAGGAATGAAATTGGGTCAGTTGTAGAGATGTGGGTGCATCTAGAGACTGTCATACAGAGTGAAGTAAGTTAGAAAGAGAAAAACAAGTATTGTATATTAACGCATATATGTGGAACCTAGAAAAATGGTACAGATGAACTGGTTTGCAGGGCAGAAATAGAGACACAGATGCAGAGGACAAACGTATGGACATCAAGTGGGGGGAAGTGGCGGGGGGTGGGGGGGGATGAATTGGGAGATTGGGATTGACATATATACACTGATATGTATAAAATGGATAACTAATAAGAGCCTGCTGTATAAAACAATAAAAATTTAAAAACAAACAAAACCAGTTCCTGACCACAAGTAGTTTCCAAATCAAACCAGTGCAAAGGTTCTTTTTTCCTAAGTGTAAATAATTATGGGGTAGTGATCCTATGACAAAGATTTGCTTCACTCTCAAAACTGTCAAGATTTAAAGCAAACAGATGGGCAGCCAATATCTGAGAGTAAAGAAGAAAAATTAGCAATTAATCAGGGCTCTGTTGTCAGAATTCTCTGTTGGCTTGACCATTTGTTTAAACTGAGCCCTTGGATTCACGACTACTTGTCCATAAGTCATAATGGACCTACATTTACGTAGGTCCGATAAAAAGTCACTTAGCTGCTGTTTCTTGGGAAGAACTGAATATATTTGTAAACACAAACACCTATGTTATTAGTATATAAACTAGGCAGTGATCCTACATAAGGTGATATCAAATATGTATTGTTCATACAAGAGCTGAAAATACACTAACTAATAAGCGTCCTACAAGTTTTTTGGACAGTGCACACAATACAAACTCATATTGCTCTTACGTTTCTACATAACATATGACCCATAAGTGAACAGCAAACCCAACCCGTCAGCCGCAAAACCCCAAATTCATATCTGGATACTGGGGCCAGAATACTACAAATGTAATTAAGCTGATTAGGTTCTAGAGATGCTGTTTTCTCATAAAATAATTTGTGTAGTTGGTGGGGAGGGGGGTGTGCTTTACAGCTTTAATAAGGACAAAAGCACCTGTTAAGCTTTTCAAATTAGGAATAGCATGTAAAACATCATACTTCTGTGGACACTTAGAAACACAGGAACTTCAGTTACTTGACAATTTCAAAAACTGACTCTAAGAAAGATAAAATAACCAAAAGACCAACCTTTAGAGCACCACTTTACTTTCCCAAAGTGTCACACCTCATAGTGACAATCTTTAGAATGCCAGAATGTTTAGAAATTAATACTTAGTCCAATATCACCATTTTTATAGATGAGGAAATCAAGATCTGGCCTAGACACTGGCACTTAAAAGGGGGTGGGGTGGGACGCAAGGTCCTGAACAGGGCACTGAGCTTCTGGGAAGTAGGGCTGAAGCCCTGGCTGGCTGGGGAGGCAGCTCTGTCAGGGAGCTCAGAGCTTTGAAGCAAACTGTGCTCAAAAACGCGGACAGGGTGTTGGGGAGGAGCTGCTTCTCTGAAAGGCATAATCCAACATAAAGATATTCTGGGCATGGAAGTTGGGTTACCTTCCGAGCCTGGAGTTCTCTGGTGAAAGATGCTTCCCCTGGACGAGGGGCGGGAACAAAGCACTCGGTCACCACCTTCATCACTGGAAGGGCCAGGGAAGCAAACTCTTTTCGAAAAACACGGAACCAGACATCAAGACTAAAGGTGAATATGAGTGCAAAAGCTGTATCATCGATTCTGTTTTACACAGAACAGAAAGGAATCATCCCCTGACTTGCACATCTGTCTCCAGCAAACTCAAGATCCAGAAGTGAACAAGGGCTCAGAGGCCGGCTCCTCAGTGTGTACCTTACAAGGCCCTGGGAGATGACGATTCCCATTTTCAAGATGCTCCAACCCTGGCGAGGGCACGAGGGGCAGCAGATGTGCTGGTGATTTTCCGCTTGCCCCCCACCCTGGAGATGCAATCTTGGCCTGTGTCTGTGCCCTGGCTGACCAACCTCTCTGACCCTCATTCCAGCCAGGCTCATCCAATGGGAGGCCCTGGTAGGAGAAAGCGGGATAGGAAGGAGGAGAAGTCGGAGTATTTCCTCCCATTCTCTCCTGTGGCCCCTGCCTAGGGGCCCTCATCTGTGGCCCCCTCTCCTGGGCTTAGCTGTAGCATTTCCTCCCTGGACCCTGCAGGCCTAGGGGGCTTCAATGCCCTCCTGGTCTCAATGCTCCTAGCCGGTCCCCTTTCACTCCTTCATTCAGTTGATACATGTGAGTTGGAGTCTGTCTCCTGCCAGGACCACTAGGGAATAGAAGCCATGAAATAAACATGGCATCTTATACTCACTTCCACTTACTTGGAAAAATTTTATATTGAAACTGAGAGAGCAGAACAGAAATCCACATAAACCTTAAAAATAAACAGACCTTTCAAAATCTTCAAACTCCAAATACTGCTGCGTTGGCAGGTCACAGTCCTTTGGTCTCCAGGATCTTTAGTGGCAAGACAGGGAGAGGATGCTTAACTAGGTTGACTGGAAACTCCCTCAGGCTCTCCTGCTCTCTGGAATTCACTGATTGCCTGAGGGAGTCAGGGAAGGGGAGGGTCCGACCTCAGGGGAGGGCTAGACCAAGCAGAGATGTTGAGAAGAGGCACGTGACCCAGAGGAAGAAGCTGGAGGAATGACAGCATCTTTAGACCACAGCCCATGTAGGGAAATCACTCATCCTCTGAGGACATCACAATTAGAGTCCAGTACTTTGACTGCTTTCAGAATAGAGTCGGCCTTTGGCAAAAAGTCCTGCTAGAAGGCCAACATATTTTGTTACTCAAGGGGCGGAGAAATGTATAATCCATATTACAACACTTTTCACAAAGTCTGTGAAAATTAATTTAATATCGACTAAATAACAGATGGGGCCATACCCAAAGTGAGCACATATCAGTCATTTAAAAGGAGATTAAAACACAAGTCTATCTGATTTCTGGTAATACTGGATAAAGTAAGGGTTAACCACCATCTCTTGCCCCAAATTCCTCTCAGTTGAACCCAGAAGAGAGGAAAATGCAGGCTGTAGGGGCACATGCATAAAAGGAGACACTCCTGGGCTTCTGGGAGGGGACACAGGGCAAAGTTACCAAGTAGAAAACGAACTAGCTGGAGAGTCCTCCCCGGGCCCCTCCAAACACCCATTTCATTCAAATCCCTTTCCTCCCTCCTCGTCTCTCTCAAATTATGTCCCTGCTAATAAGCTTTCATCGAAAATCAGGTTCTGAAGTCAAAAAACATTTGGACACTACTGGTTTAGGTTAAACACAAGTGTGTGTATATATATATATATATATACACACACACACACACAAACACGTGAACTGCTACTACAGACAAGTAAGGAGAAGACCACCCATATCTTTTAATACCTTCCTGATGAGTCTTCTTAAATGCACTCTTATCCAGATATACAAGGCTTATCTTTCTCAATATCTAATCCCAAGCAGGATTATTTTATTTCTAAGCATTTAACTTTTTAAAAAAGATTAAAAAATTAAAGGAAGGCACTGAACTTTAGGAAGAACCAGAGGGCTAATCTGCTTACCTGCTGTCCCCAGCATTTGCTACGTACAGCTTCCCCAAAAGGCAAATCACGATGAGGGCTGTGCAACCACCAGATATACTGTATGAACTCCTCTCTCGTTCGATTTGTAGGTCCTGGAGAAGAAGGCAAAGTTAGTACTGGACTGTACAGGAACAAAGACTGTCTTAGCCTTGCTCCCTCGACACAGCCCTAAGATCTGAGTACGACTCGAAGAAGGGACAAGAAAATCTTGAGTACTGGCTTTCTATCAACTGACAAGCATTTCTGGAGAGGACACTGGCATAAAACGGTCGCCTACCAGACCATGTGCGGACCAGAGACAGGAAACAAGGGAAGGCAAACAGATCTAATCAGACAAAAATGAGAAGAATTAAACCAATTGTATTTAATACATATCATGGCTTACGGAAAATTCAGTCTTTGTATGGACAGCCTGAGCTGCTGTGGAAAACAGATGAGAGGCTAATAATGTCGAGTGCTTGGACCTGATCAATGTTTTTAACCCCAAAGTCTCCAGTAAATAAATTCCTTTACAGCTAGACGAGACAGGTGACTTGAAGGACTGTGTCCTCAATTCAACTTGGCAGGAGTCCACCCCCGTCCTACTGATCAAAGATAGAAGCTTCTGAACCCTGAACTAACGTCCTCTTCCCAAGGCCACTAATTCACAAGAGGGACACACACGCATAGTATCAGCCAGCCGTCAGTGAGCACTTCCTCTGTGTCAGACAGTGCAAGAAGCACTTTACATATAGAATCGCATCTCATCCTCACAACTGTAACATTCATCTCACTGTTCAGATGCAGACAAGTGGGGAACTCGCCCATATTTACCCCGCTGGAGTTTGGATTCCAATCGGGTTCTCCTCCTCCAAAGCCTAGTATTTATTACCTGCCACCTAATGAGGTCTCCCCAAGGAAATTAAAAATAGAACCACATTCCTGTGGACAGAGATGCATCATCCTCCAGACAGATGTCTGTGTGAAACGCTGTGTCAGTGACAGAAGCCAGGGTTCCTTGACCTCAGACAAATGAGAGTCGTTAGGAAAATAAACTGAATGCTGGCCAAAATAATGGCAAATGTTCTCATCGCCATCTATTGTTGGGGCCAAGGAAGAAAGGACGAGGGTGGGGTACAGAAGAGCAGGAAACGGTGCTCTGGCTGATTCTGAGGCTGCTGTCGGCTGACCCAGGGCCAGGGCCCGTTTGTGATGCTTAGAAACCCACAGAATTAGAACTCAGCTGCTTCAGCCAGCCTCCTGATGGGAAGCGGAGATAATTCAGTAATCCAGCATTTATCGGCAACTGCCGTGCTCCAGAGGCCAGAGGCGGTAACACAAAGTCAGAGAAATCACCAAGGAGAAGCTGGAAACAGGAGAAGAGCCCGAGCTTTGAAAACAGATTAAGAACACAGTATCGGTCAAAATGTAAGGAGGGGAAAAGTACGAAGACAAGACCTGGGAGAAACTAACATACTGGGAATGAACTGAGTAAAGGTTAAGGGCCGGTGGAGGTTGGCGGCGGGGGGGGGAAGCTGAGGAACCATCGGGAGAGGTAAGAATGAGTGTACTATATGGGACGTGATGGTTTAGAAGCAGGTGAAGAAGAATTCCAAAAAGGGGTTGAGTGAATGACGACATCATGTGCTGCAGACGGGTCAAGCACGAGGACCACCCCCAAAGACCACACTGAATTTTAAAAATTTATGTACAATCTCTGTATAAATTAGCTTAAAGGGGCTGTCATGAGGATTAAATTAGACGGCGTAGATGAGGGGCTTCGGAGACCAGCTAGATTCTCCCCACAGCCTGGATCCCATGACTGAGAGCAGAGACCTTTCTTGCTCAGTGCTAGAGCCTCAACACCCATATTGGGCCAAGTAAAACGTAATTTAATAAATATCTATTCGATGGGCAAATAAAGAAATACATGATAAAACGCCTGGGTTTCCAATTATCTCCCCACCATTTTACCTCTGCCTTAACACGAGACATGTGTCCCACCATTCATAAGTGAAAAGCTTACAGCATGCATAAACACTCACTGAGATAATAATTAAGCAGGAACCCAGGCTTCCAATAACACGCAGTCAATTGACAGGAACGAATGAATGGTTCTTAGAACCCAAGCAGGGATGGCAGGAGGCTGGAGGGTGACACGGGAGGAGGGACACACGTCAGCAGGGAAAGACCGTCACAAGAAAGTGACAGACGGGAAAGAAAACATCAAGACGTCAGAAGTTCCGTCTGTTGAACCTCCAAACAGTGCATCAAAACAGAACCAATAACCCTATTCACAAAGGAGTTTGCGGGTAGGTTTATGCAATTTTTTTGCATTTAAATAAATAAAATAAAGTTGATATTATGATAGATATATATTTCATCAAATTAATACAGAAACTGGTATATAAAGCCCACACGCAATACTAACATTTTTAATACACTGGAAAGAACTGCTCTAGCTACAGAAACTATCCTTTCACATCCAGAATCACTATTTGTTTGAATACCTAAAGTCTGAATGAAAGGCAGTTTTGAGTAAAAATCCTTTAAGCACCCAACTGCTTACGGACTGGAGTGTGAATGATGCTTGACAGACTTAAACCATTGGTGCGATCCAAAAAGTAGAGTCCACGTGAAAGAGCCGCCCACGTCAAAGAATTCCTCTGGGACTCAGACAAACAAGTTTATTCTGCATGGTAGGTGCCTTACTTATCATGGTTTACATCACCAGAAAATCTGATTATAAAATTATTTCATCTTTTAAAAAAATATCAAGATAGAGTGTTTGACACTAAGATTTTTCTGCTACAGCAGAGTTCACATTTGCCTTTCATTTAGGGGGAAACATTCCAGTTAGCCTGCCCCTTGAATGCCTTGTTATGACATTAATAGCGTGAGTCAGTATTTTTTTCTAATTGATTTCATCATTTCTTTCATCTTTTCCTACCTTCCCTCTGCAGTTCCCCCAGCATAAGGAATGCAAATTTGGCAACATTTCCACATAAACAGTGGACCAAAGTCTAGCTATTTTTTATACAAGAAACTCTGCTAACAGGCTCATGCTTTCATCACCTCCCGCCTCTGCGTGCTAATAGACATATGCGTGTGCGCTCAGACGCACACTTTAATTACATGTGTGCTCTCTGGGATCACAGTGAAAGGATTTGAAAGATGTGTTTCCACAGACTTCATCCGCCCTGTAGGATTCACTGACATGAAAATACGCTCTTTTATTTCTTCTTCTAAAACTGGGTGTAACTAGAACATATTCTAAAAATAATTGCTTCCCCCTCCCCTCCCTAGAAGACAAAATAGCACATTTTTTTCCTATACCACCTACTCCTCTTTAAAAGATGCTTCACAAAATCTTAGTACTAAAAGGAACATTAAAGGACCATCTGGGTGGTCCTTCTACTACCAGATCAAACGTGATAAATGAAGTCAATAAAGATATATTTACTGTTGAATTAACTACCTAATTTCTTCAAACTCTTAACTTTTCCAGTTAGCTTAAGCTTCTCACACTCTACATTAAAAAAAAATTAAAAAATGTATCCCTCAAGAAGTTTGGGTACTTTTTTCAAAAGATTAAGGAAATCATGAAAAACTGCCCACTGCTTGTGCTAAACAGAGACCGATCTGGAATATCTCCCCCATTTTAGCTGCCATGAACCTCAAGACATAAGTCTAGAATAAATTACCAGCAAAACACATGCACATACTATCATTCCTTTTCAAGTATGATCTAAAAGGATCAACTTAAGTGACTCAGAAGATTCCATTAACAAGATAATTGATTTATCTGTTCAATCATGAGTCCCTCTCAAGGCTGCTTTCTACCTAGCAGAACTGATTTATCCTGTGTTGCATCTGTCTAAATATTACATTTAAGCAAGGATTATCTCTAAATCAAAGAATGGATCCAATTTTTAAGACTTGGGATTGTATTTTGCTCCTTTTTGTTGCAAGGAAGAATGAGAGCAGTGAAGGGAAAAAAGAATGTGTGTGAAAGGAGACTAATTCAGCAGGAAAGAATTGCAAGAAAGAAAATATATTTTTCGGGATCACTGTAATTTGGTTCTAAAGTCCCACAGATGACGCAGCTCCAGGATCATTGTTTGTTTCCTACCAATTTCAGGTCGCAAAAGGAAAGCAATATCAAACACCAGAAGGCAGCGAGTGCTGGGTGGTTTCAATAGGACCTGGCACCTCCCCCTAGCTGGGTTAAAACATGGTTATGAGCACATTGCTAATAGCGTCAGTCACAAATAATAAGATTCTGCATGGTTTTAGTATCTGGGCCTGATTTCGGTTTATTCTGAGAAGCCAATCTGTCAGCCAGGCAACGGGGAAGGGACAAACCAGCGCTGCCTAATATCGCCACCTGCTGGCTGTTGGTGGAATCACATGCTCATTCCTTCTCGGAAGAACTTCCTGTTCTACTAAAAACAAAGACAAAACAAAAGCAAAAACAAAAAGCCTCTAGCTTAAAATACAGACAGACCAACAGGTCCACTTACCATTACTATTCTAATTCTCAAAACCATTAAAATTTATAAACTATAAATTAGCTTTGCATTCGTCCTCCTTTTTCACCATCGTGTCACCACATGGTTTTTACCGACAAAGCCAAGCTGAGTGGTATTTCCAACCATTTACTCAGTGACAGTAAGACGTATGCTAGTTTTACAAGTTAAAATGTTGCCATTTTTCTCCCTTCATAACAATCAAACCTCCAAAACATTCTTCACTGTGGCGAGGAATCTATACCCACACTGAAAAGGAAATAGGACAGAATTTTGAGATCCTCCTGCCTGTTTCTATAACTCAATTCCTGTAGGTAAAAAAGGTCATCACTGCTGACTTGCTTCTGATTCCTAGGAGGGCAAAGGTCTCCTGCAACTATACCAACAATGGAAGTGACTTCTTACATGACTCCCCTGTTTTTGGAGGGTATGGAAGTAGGAAGGAGACTGACATCAGGACTTAGAAGACATTTATCTTCTTCGTATCTGTCATCTTGAGCCAAGCAACCACCTAAACATAATAGGTGACGAAACTTAGCTGCAGAAGTAGGCATTGTTACAAAGTGTAGTTGGGAAGCAGAAATGAAGTCAGTCAGAAAGTTCCTCAGATCCTGGTCCTCTTGGAAGCGAGGGTTCATTTTCCACGGTGGACACAGGAGGAGCTGGCCACGCAGCCTTCACTCCGAAGGGAGATCCAAGATGAGATACAATAGGGGACCACAGGGCAGACCCACTTCTGCCAGCATGGATCAGAGGCCCGTGGTCAGAGGTCACCTCCTCACAAGCCACTTACTGTGCCAGACAACCCCAGGATCAAAGAGAAGAGGAAAAACAGTGCCTTCAAAGAGGCTTACAGTATTTGATGAAACTTACCATCTCCTCTGGTCCACAGCGTTTCCCCCCCCCTTCTGTTAGTCTTTATTTTTCGATGGGTACCTACTTTTTCCTAGAAATAGGTACTATTTATTCTGGTCTGGTGTTTCTGAATCTTTTTATCCAATTTTCTCTTTCAGATAGATATGAACATTTCACTTAATGTCACTCAGAACATTAAAACAAATGAGATACTATCTATCGCTGTGTTCGTATAACGTGACGACAAATACCCCCAGATACAAAATCCAATGTTTTCCTTCTAGACCCCCATGGTGTCTAGAAGAATGCTGGTTATAAAATATAAGCAATTGAGGGCTTCCCTGGTGGCGCAGTGGTTGAGAGTCCGCCTGCCGATGCAGGGGACACGGGCTCGTGCCCCGGTCCAGGAAGATCCCACATGCCGCGGAGCGGCTGGGCCCGTGAGCCATGGCCGCTGAGCCTGTGCGTCCGGAGCCTGTGCTCCGCAGCGGGAGA